AAGTTATAGCCCTTTGGAAGTTTGAGTACCGCCCTGTCTCAATAATAATATCATGTGCTCGTGTTTGGCAACAACGGATATAGTCCACCTTATCGGTTCATCGCATCGGAAACAAAAAAGCGAAAGAATTTGGAACGACGTTTTTACAATTAGTTTATTCAGTTTAGTTATACATACAGTCAGTGTCAGTCGCGTGTGAATAGTGTCTGTTGCGTGGCTCAAACGAAATAAAAAATGGCACATGTTTATGCGGATCGGTTTCCCAATCGAGTGCAACTAACCCCTCGTGCCTTTGTTAATGTAGTACAACGGGCTCGTGAATCAGGTGACTTAAGACCTCACAGGGGACCTCACGATCAAATACAGGTCCGCACTGAAATACTTGTCGGGAGGATACTTTATAAAACAAGGTAAACATTTTTTTTTATTTTTTTTTTATTTTTACACACATATTTTGGTTTATCTTCCTTCTACAATCATTATCTGAAAATTAATGACTCAACTTCAAAGTCACCCTGTATAAGAATCTATGACATTTTAAATAATAATTTAATTATTATACTTGTTACAAACTGTTATATTTTTTGAATGTTCTGCCTTATACGTACTGATTGCACCGAATACAAAACTTTCGAGATTTCCTGTCTTTACGTCTGTCGCATAAGAAACATCGCTGCTGTTTGCTAATAATGGGAACAGGTGATCATTACTTACATTTAATTCTGATAAAATGGTTAACATGGATTGTTTTATGTTGGAATGGAAAAGCTTGTCATTATGGTACCTACCAATTATAGTTTGCATAATTAATTCTTGTCCCAACTTCAACAAAAACATTCTTCTTCTACCCTAACGATTTTTCTCCAATCTGGATTTTTCAACACCCATACCCTATAAACGTTGATGTAACTTGTTGTAAAAATATTGCCATCGGCCACCGATTACTTTTTCTTTGAATCGTGATTTCCTATATCTGTTGTATGCGCTGCACCCTTTGTTTTGTTATAGTGTAACATGTTACATACCGAGCAGGGTGCAGCTGAACCCTAATGTACAATAAATTACAATTCCTTTAAACTTTTGTATACTAAATTAGAAATTTATTTAAGACACATTCCTCGATTCAAAATAAATATTTTAGAAAATACCCCCAAAAATTGATGTTTGGGGTGCAGTAGCACCCCGCTCGGGTTTATGAAGGTTACGGCGACATATTGGAGAAACTGCATCTATCTATAAATTGTTCCTGTTTCAATCAAGTGTCTAGGTCTCAAGTATCACGCTTATATGAAAATAAGATTGGAGCCTTGTGGTACAAATTTTGTAGTCCGTGATGTGAAATTCTAGACATACATGAGTGCTCATGTGTTAGAAGTTCCAGATTCGCAATAGGTGTCATGAAAATTAATTGAATTACAGAGATGTCTCCTGAGTTGATCCCACTAATAGCTCCACCGTTTTGAGCTGATATCGCAATTTAGCGCGGTGGAATCCAAAAATAAAGTTGGTTTTTTAATGATTTAAAGGTGTGTCAGTATGTTGATTGCGCATGCTACAAATTTGTTGATATACTAAGTGCAAAAAAGGTAAATATCTACGTATGTTTATCCAATTTCAATAATTTTTGGCATATATGTTCAGTGTCCCTTTCTAGGAAAATGATTGAACTTTCAGCTTGATTCATCAACTGACGCCAGAAGCTGGTTCAAAACTGTGTTGAGGATCCACAATTTCTTATGCACTCATTGACCCGTCTGGGCATCGTGCTGATAAGGTGGTCGATATCCTGTTGGGGTATCTCATTCAAAGACCACCTGATTCCATTCCCGGTCCCATAGAATTCCTTCTCTACTCCAGAGCAAACGGTTACGCCGATGTTCAGCTGTGAGAGGTAACACCCAATGTAGGTGACAAGAAGAAAGGCCAAACTGTCGTATTCGGCAATATACCTTACGCATACCAACCATCCTTTCATGCTCTTCTGATTAGCGATGGCTCGAATACTAGTGAATCTGTCTCCCAGAGCGAGAAGTCTTAACAGGCGGTCTTGTCGCTCTGTGGTCCCTCTGAGACGTCCAGAACACCTCGTTTACCGTCCTCGGTCTTCCTGGGTCCACGCTCGTTCACCCTGCAGTATAGTGCGTAAGGATCTGTTGGTCCTCCTAGAAACTTCTCTTATCGATAGACCGGCTTCACGCAACCTGACAATTCGACCGCTCTCAAAGTAACTTAGCTGGGACACCTACGAACTCACATATACGAAAACTGATTACTTATTTATCATCAAACATTACACGCAGCCACCACAAAAACAAGAGAAAAACCTGACCATTTTATAACTTGTTGTTCATGGCAAGATAAATCGATTTGTAAAAAATTCTTGAATTCTAATAAACATACGTAGGTGTTTACATAGTTTGTTCTATTTCATATTAAAAAGTAGTTCGCTATCTAAACCCTTTTTTGTATGTATTCAATGATTTGTTCTTATCATGTTTAATACTAACGGCGTAATGTCCTTGCTTTGTTGTAAGTGCAGAAATGTCATAACTAGCATTCATAAACAAAAATTTGTCAGTCTGTCTCTACATGAAAAGGTTCAAGGAGTGTGCAAGTGTTTGCAGGTTTAAATTCCGAATGAAGAGATTAATGGACATTTAATGTAGGAGTGAGATTGTAATTTTCTCGAAAGGCATATGTTATATCACTTTGAAGCTCCCTGTAAGAACTTTCTAGCTTTGGAATAAGTTCTATATCTGCCAAATGGCAGACCCAGGCTTATTACATGTTTGTTAATATCTTCCCGAGACAAGAGATTCGATGAAACCAGTTATCGAGTTTTAAATAAGGCAATGTACAGACATTCGGTAGCATGCCATTCCACAATTTTGTAAAAATTTGGTTTTTTTATTCTAAATTTGACTAGTTGCACATGACCCTTATTTTCATTTAAAAGAATGTCCAGGATGAAATATAATATTCACCCATAAATTTCAATATCCCAAATTTCAAAATGCTTCAAAAATATAACACTCATTGTGGTGTACGATTTATCGAAAAACCATCATTAGAAAATCATAAATCTTGGTATGGTTGATATACAGTAATGGACAAAAGTATATAGATAAATTAATATTGTGCTGTATTTATTTTTTAACTTGTTTTATTAATACACCAGCCTGTAACGTATACATAATTCGTTATAGCATAATACTCAGTTACACATAAATAAATTCATTAGACTCCCTTCAATAAAAAAATAATTGAAAAAACTGGAACTATGAATGACATAAATATATAGCCAAAGCAAAACAATTATAGAAAAAAGAAGCAAAGTTCATTGGATTATAGAAAACCAACCATGTATGTGTTAATATTTTGTAGCATAACCATTATTATCAATCACCGCCTGGCATCGTCTCGGCATAGATTGTAGAAGTTTCTCGATATAATATTCATCAATCTGTCTCCACTTTTGCTCTAAAGCGGCAAAAAGTTCATCCTTGTTTAAATAATTTTTATCTCGCATTTGCTTATCTAAGTATTGCCATAGATTTTCAATGGGGCTTATATCGGGAGACTGTGAAGGCCATTTGAGAACTGGTATTTTTTCATCCAGAAAGAATTTCTTTGCGAGATTTGAAGTGTGCTACGGGTCATTATCTGGCAGATAGATCTTAAGGGCATATTGTCTTCCATATAGGGTAACAGGACATGCTTTAGTATGTGTGTGTATACAAACTTATCGATAATGCCATCTATTCTATGTAAAGGTCCCATCCCAAGCCCCGAAAAGCACCCCCAAACCATAACAGACCCGCCTCCATGTTTGACAGTGGGCAAAGTGTACTTGTTCAATCTTTGACCACCAGGACGTCTAACGTAATGAACACCATCTGATCCAAACATATTGAACCTGGATTCGTCACTGAAACATACCCTCTTTCAGTCACGTATGCTCCAATCAAGATGCAGCCGTGCAAATTTTAATCAGTCCTTACTGTTTTTCCTCGAGATTAGCGGCTTCTTATGGTTTTCGTAGAAACACTGACAATTCCTTTTGCCTCGATTTCAGCTTTTATTTGTCTTGGGTTTTAATCGGATCTTTGGACGAAATTACTTTTATTAATCTAACTGATCTAGCATTTAGTTTTCTAGGCCGACCACTTCTCTTAAGGTGCATTTAAATTAGTGCGAACACGAGCGAACGAACGAATTCGTTCGCTTACGCTCGCCCAATTTAAATGGCGAACCGAAGAAGACCGAACGATTTCGTTCGTGTTCGGACATGTTCCAGCGCGTGTCGGTAAACTAGCGAATCTCAAAGGATGTTCGCGCTCAATGTAAACGACGTTTCTTGTACTTGCGAACACACGCGAATAAATTCGGCCTACTAAACGTGTACTGTTTAACTACTTTGTGTGTGGTTACGTCTTGCAAAACATGGAATGGACAAATGATAAAACTTTACAACTCATTGAGTTATATAGAACCAAAGAATGTTTGTGGAATCCAAAATCATCATTTTACAAACTTCTAAATAAGAAAAATGATGCATGGCAAGGAATAGCAACAGAAATGAATTGCAACACCATAGAAGTGAAAAAGAAAATAAACTCTCTGCTTGCCTCATTTCGAAGAGAGAGACAAAAGGAAAGTACAACCAAAACATCAGGAAGTGGAGCTGGAGAACAGTACTACTCAACATGGTTTGCATTTAAGTCTCTGGATTTTCTGAGAGACAAATTTACACCAAAATCTACATTAAATACCGAGGAGGTGAGTGAAATAATACGCATATTCAGATTTTAGTAACGTTTCTATGCTTAAATACATATTTATGAGTAATTTGTTTGCCATGAAGATTGTCCGGATGTTACAAAATACTCCATAAACTCATGCCTAACTTTTTCCGCATTTGCTGAACATTTTCGAGGTATATTTTTTAATGGAATTAATGATGTGGCTTTTTCGTTTTCTCTGCAGTTGCCGTTATTTACCCGCGTATTAGGTTCGATATCAAAACTTCCTGGTGGAGCGTATATATTTCGCGATGTTTTGCTCCTTCTCAAAAAATTGTGTAGGTATACACAACTTAAAACCACCAATGCCGCGTTGTCTTCTTTCAAAAGTATCGGTTTTCTGAGAACTCTAAAGACAGAAGAGAGGATGCCAAATGCATTTTCCACAACTCTCCGTGCCCTTGATAGCCTATAATTAAAGGTTCGTTTAGGTGAGTTGTTTTCGTGTGTTCCACCATATGGTTTTAAAATGTGCTTATGTAGTGCAAATGCATCGTCTGCTACAAACACATAAGGCACGTTTTCTGTCCTTCCAGGTAAAATAGATTCTTCCGGTAATTTTAGAGTTCCTGCATACAATGTTTTACAAAAAGATGTATGAGCAAACACTCCTCCATCTGAGATGCGGCCTTGACAGCCTACATCAGCGAATAAAAAATTGTAATGATAATCCACAAGTGCAAGTAACACAATACTAAAAGTCGACTTATAATTGAAGTAGTCACTTCCACTGTTGGCTGGAGTTTGCAAAATACAGTGTTTTCCGTCAATAGATCCTAAGCAATGCGGAAAATTCCATCGCTTTTCAAAACCTTCAGCAATTTGTAACCATTCCTCTTGATTCTTGGGCATCTAAAAAAAATATTCCACTTAGTAAAATTCACAGGCATATATTCTATTTTTAGATTCAAGAACGAGATGTTACAGTGAATATCAACGCTGACAATGAAAATGTAGACGAAGCTATTACAACCCATCAGGAACATAATGGAACATCTATGCCATCCACCAGTGGAGTAAACGCCACTAAAAGGGATCATCTGCATCTTTCACTACTACACCACTTGTTTCACCTACTTCAAATAACGTATCATATATATCATCAAATCATACATCACCGGTTCATTATTTTCATTCATGCTCTCAGCCAGCAACAGCAGAAACAGAAAAAGAGCAAACAGATGAGAGCGAACTTGCTACTTTTGTTTTAAATTTTAAACCCTAAGTAAAATGACAATAAAGAATCTTTTGAGTAATTACCAGTGTTTTTTTACACCTCAGGTTTTTAACTATTACCTGTACACAATCTTGTAAACAATCAATCATGGCTTTGCACACTTCTGGAATAATGTGACAAATTGATGATGTAGAAATCTTGAACAAATACTTTAAACTCGAATAGCAATCTCCTGTTGCCAAAAAACGGAGCGTTAGTAATAACTTCTCTTTTGGTAATATTGCCTTTTTGAATGTAGTGTCCGTTTTTGAAATGATTGGACCAATCAAATTTAGCAAATATTCCAAATCAGTTGAAGACATTCTGCAAAAGTTATTCAATTGTCCCAGATTATCGCTTGTAAGGTCTGTAAACATTGTTATTCCTCCTGCAGTGTCTCTTTTTTTCAGTAAATTTGAAGACCATTCCCTCTTTTTTCTTTTCTTCTTCGTCAACCTGCCATAACAATAAAACTAGCACTAATAATTATATCGTCAACAGAGTCCGACATGGAGTTCGAAAACAGAACAACGGAACATCCGCGAATGCAAATATTCGTACATATAAAAATGCCTCAAACAGGTAGCGAGCTAACGAACGAACGAACAAGACCAAATTCGTTCCTTCGTTCGTTCGCTCGTGTTCGCTCTAATTTAAATGCACCTTTAGACGCTTCCAAGATACCTTTTTGATTATATTTGTTTAATATTGCCCAAACTGCTTTACGCTTCAGCTTCAAATTTTTGGCAATGTCGACTTGACGTTGACCATCTTTGTATAACTCAATGATCTTAGATTTCACATCGAAAGAAATTTCTGGATCACGCGGCATGGTCTTAAAGTCACTCAACTTATTCCACAATACTTGATGAACACAAACGAATCCTCTTCTGATGAAGGTGCATTTAAATTAGTGCGAACACGAGCGAACGAACGAATTTGTTCGCTTACGCTCGCCCAATTTAAATGGCGAACCGAAGAAGACCGAACGAATTCGTTCGTGTTCGGACATGTTCCAGCGCGTGTCGGTAAACTAGCGAATCATCAAAGGATGTTCGCGCTAAATGTAAACGACGTTTCTTGTACTTGCGAACACACGCGAATAAATTCAATTCCAAAATCATCATTTTACAAACTTCTAAATAAGAAAAATGATGCATGGCAAGGAATAGCAACAGAAATGAATTGCAATACCATAGAAGTGAAAAAGAAAATAAACTCTCTGCTTGCCTCATTTCGAAGAGAGAGACAAAAGGAAAGTACAACCAAAACATCAGGAAGTGGAGCTGGAGAACAGTACTACTCAACATGGTTTGCATTTAAGTCTCTGGATTTTTTGAGAGACAAATTTACACCAAAATCTACATTAAATACCGAGGAGGTGAGTGAAATAATACGCATATTCAGATTTTAGTAACGTTTTTATGCTTAAATACATATTTATGAGTAATTTGTTTGCCATGAAGATTGTCCGGATGTTACAAAATACTCCATAAACTCATGCCTAACTTTTTCCGCATTTGCTGAAGATTTTCGAGGTATATTTTTTAATGGAATTAATGATGTTGCTTTTTCGTTTTCTCTGAAGTTGCCGTTATTTATCCGCGTATTAGGTTCGATATCAAAACTTCCTGGTGGAGCGTATATATTTCACGATGTTTTGCTCCTTCTCAAAAAATTGTGTAGTATACACAACTTAAAATCACCAATATTGCCTTTTTGAATGTAGTGTCCGTTTTTAAAATGATTGGACCAATCAAATTTAGCAAATATTCCAAATCAGTTGAAGACATTCTGCAAAAGTTATTCAATTGTCCCAGATTATCGCTTGTAAGGTCTGTAAACATTGTTATTCCTCCTGCAGTGTCTCTTTTTTTCAGTAAATTTGAAGTCCATTCCCTCTTTTCTTTTTTTCTTCGTCAAACCTGCCATAACAATAAAACTAGCACTAATAATTATATCGTCAACAGAGTCCGACATGGAGTTCGAAAACAGAACAACGGAACATCCGCGAATGCAAATATTCGTACATATAAAAATGCCTCAAAAGGTAGCGAGCTAAAGAACGAACGAACAAGACCAAATTCGTTCCTTCGTTCGTTCGCCCGTGTTCGCTCTAATTTAAATGCACCTTCGACACGAAACTGTACTAGTGTTGAAAAGAATTTGTCTACATATTTTTGTCCCTCATAAAAAAGTGCTTATATTCAGACTTGTATTGTGTTCATTGCAGATAATGTAAAAACAAGGAATTTAGTTTTTCTACTAATAACGCTTTTTTATGGAGCAATGAAGTATGAATTCGTTTTCTAAAGGTATTTAGGTGAGTATTCATATTTGTCTATATACTTTTGTCCAGTACTGTAGGTGTGGTACTAGAAAGCGTTTCAGATACGTCGTAACTAACGGCAAACCTGTCATTTGGAAAGCAACAACTTTTATCACCGTACTGAGAATAATACATATTAGCATGCCCTCATAATTCCTGGCAAATAGATCGTTGATTAATCGCTGGAAAAGTTCACGTGCGCTTAAGATGAACATTTCGTACATGTTCGTGAATCGGGTATGTAGATCCTACTTACCTCGTGATCCGTTTTATCGCTCTACCGCAACCTCCACTCCAACCGCAAAAAGATCATAAGTAATAAAGATTCAAAGCAGCTCCACACTCACAACAGAATGTCGCCGATGATCTCGGCAAGAATCTCAGCGAAAATTTTGGCCAGAACTTCTGTCGGTTCACACTCGCAGGGTTCTCAATACAGTTTTCGTGCTCGATGACGATCGACGCAGAATTAAATAATTTGCTCCATTTTTAAATACATTTTCAAATGTAAGTATTTTATATCGCATTTAAATTATTTGCGAGATTGTAATTTTTGTCAATGGAAATTATGTAGCTTTATCATTATGATTTGCATATAATTTTTTTTCAAATGCATTACTTTTTTTCTAAACCAAAAGTTGGAGCAAAGTATGCGATAGGCCGGGTATACTTTGCGTCGCCTATGTTTTTATTGCTTTTCATACAGTTAAACACAGGTAGACAAAGTGTACCTTACCCAGAATATAATATTGCACCGCAGAAATTCGAAGAATAATGTTTTCTAATAATAAGCAAAATTTTACAAAATAAAAATATAGAAAAGGTAATAGTACTACTTTACCAATTTTATTTAAATCTTAAAGAATTTTTTTTTTGAAAATGATACAAAACTTTGTGGCATAAAACTTATAGGTAATTATTTATAAAAAAGTATGCAAAAAAGTGTGAATTCACTCTCACCATGCCTTATCTAGCTCTGGTAGAGAAAACAAGCCACGTTTTGATATCTGTTTGGGCGAAGTAATCGCTCCAATAACATCGCTCCAGGAATAGAACAGTTGGTCTTCTCTCTGTGGCCACCTCCATGATTTTAAAGATTTTTCCATCGCATTTATAACAGCCCCATCATCACTCACCTCAGTCATTTTTCAAGTTTATTTGAGAATGCTTCATCTTCGTCTGCTTCTGTTTCAAGTTCTTCTAAAAAGTTAGAGTCATCATCTGAGCTCTGAAAATTTTCATCTTCTGCACATCTCTTATGGTTTCTTCTTTGTTGTACATCATCGTCATAATTTACAGATTGGCATTGTTGTTCATCATCTTCAAAATTTACAGGAGCACTTGTTGAAGGTTTCTCCAATTCTTCGTGTGCGATACTTTTTCCTGGTGTTACCTGCAGACGTTTCTTTTTTCTGGGTTTGATGGCAGTAACTTCAGTTCTTTTGCTTCCTAAATAACTGGAAAACGAGTTTTCAATCAATTCGGATGAATTTGTTTCAAGTAAAGGCTTTATGTCGCAAGGGTAAATGCCACATTTTTTGAATCCAGATGTTAAGTTATCTGATGATTTTTCAGACAATGCATCCATAAGGTTTTTCAACATTTGAGCTCCCCCGTGGTCGAATCTGGACTGACTGCCGCACAGGTCTAACCAGTGGTAGTCTTGATGGATCGGAAACGACTGGGCACGAGTCAAAAGCACATAGCCGGAACTAATTAAATTTGATAACCTTTACATCTGTGGTGCAAAGTATCCTCTGAAGGCGCAAAGTATACTCACTTTACGGTACGCCTGTATTAAAGATTCGTATGCAAACCATATCGGCTGATAAATATCATCGACACCAGCACTATATTTTTCCGATTTCGTGACTTAATTTTCATACCTTCTGTAGCCGGCTAATAACGATTCTTTTTTTCTTTTTAATTCTTCAATGGGTAATTCCATGAATGTACTAATAAGTTTCCACGCATCGTAGGCTTGTAGCTTATTTTTATGTTCTTTTTAATTTGTATCAGTTCTGTTTGAAAATATTCTAGTAATGCCAATTCTAGTTTGTTCGTCCAAATCCGGCTCATATTGATGCTCAGTAGTAAATACCACTGTTCTAATCGGCGAGTCACCTGCCACTGAGAAACATGCGAGTGTGGAGTCAATGTAAGTTCTCGCCTGTTCTCGCGTTCTCAGCTCTTTTGTCTCGGTCCAAAAAAAAAAAACAATACGACAAAAATCACATTTCTCATGCTTTTCTCGCTTTCTCGCGAGATTCTCTCGTGGGTGTGAAGTTAATACGAGTATTGTATGTTTTCCGACGAAAATAATACAGTTCTTCAAACTGTATGCAAGCAGTGAGATAAATTTTCATGTGGTTTGCAAGAATTACATATAGAAAAGGCAAACCCCATATTCCATATTCGATAAATAACCTTTGATATGAATTTAAGTGGGATCAGTTAACTCGATCTGCTTCATCATACACATATAATGAGCGTGATAGGATGGTGTAGTGTAAAGTACAATAGAGAGCGTGGGCTAATGTTAAAGGTAGCTGTTACGTTACACTACCAAAATTCCAGCAAGATTTGAATTAAATGGTATATTCTCCAATCTTACAGAAAAAATAAGTTAGCGATAGCTGTGTTTTATAACTGTAATTTGCATTTGATCAGGTGCTTTAATTTGTTTATTACGTCTAGAGCTTGTGTGAGGCTGGTTGGTTCTTTAAATATAGCCACCAAGGTGCAGCGAAGTCTGAATACGGTGGTGGTTTGTTGTCAGTCATAGAATCAGGAAGGCCGGACACAAAAATGTATGGGGCGCGTCAGAAGAACCGCCCCACTCCAAGATAGCCGTATTAAACTTTTGGCTCTACGGGATCGCTTCGGACGGGATCAATTGCGGACTGATGGTTTGGAGACCATGCACACTTATTCCTCCATAGGTCAAAAATCCCCAAAACTCATGAGCTCATAACGACCTAAACGAGTAGGCGCGAGGCTTTTAAAAAATATGAACAACAATGCAATTAGTTCAAACTATCATTTATTTTCGTCCATCGCAAGTGACAGCTTCTCGAGTCTAATTACAGGGAAGTGTAAGTCATTGCAGCTTAGTGTTTTCATCTCGTGATAATATGGAGCTGCCAGAATATAGTATGTATTCTTATTGTTTACCTATTTTATGTAAAAACATGCGTTTTGGAGTTTAATATAAAGTTTTTACTGAACGTTGTTTTTGCTAGATATTTTTCCTACAAAATTAGTTCATCTTCATTAAAGTAGAGAATGTCTAAATTGGGGGCATATAGGTTTCATCTGCATCTTGCTGCCCCTTCTTAGGTTTGTGAGGTGCCGAACCATATATGTTCATAGTACAGAAAAAAGAGGTGTTTTCCAAATCCAATTTTGTTGTTGGTCTAAGTGAATTTTTTTGTTTCGGGGAGGACTATTTTTAATATTTAGCACTCTAAGGAGGTTAGTGGTTTACGAAAGTTACCTGTTAAAAACAGACACGTTGTCAAAATCTGTGTTAGATTTGTTAAGTTAATTGTTTCCATTATAATGTATTAAAGTTTATATGTTTTTTCAATATATCTTGTTTGCCCTTATTATGAACTGTCGTATTTTATTTCTCAATATAAGGTTGATCTAAAACAATACCTAAAACAAAAATACTGAGAAAGATTTTTAGTACCTATCTAATACTATTTTTTCTAAAAAAAATTGATAAATTGTATTTTCATGCTTGTACAATATTGTATTCTAAGGTTTAAAATACATTGAAAAAGGTTTAATGAAAATAAAAAGTTGTGTCTTTATGGCCGCCCTAGTATGGAAGTTTGTCCTGCCTCTCACTCCTAGGCACCGAAGTGATGGACTGGCTTGGTACAGAGAATGGCTGAACTTTGACGTCGAATAGAATAACATTGTATTTAGTGATGAACCAAGATTCTGTTTGAGGATGCATTATGATCGTGCAAGGGTGCGAAGGCGATGGTGTACAAGACGGGAGACGCACACTGTTCGAATTATGGTATTCAAGCTTATTGTTTATAGAAGCAGGTCACCTACTCACCTTTGATGTTTATCACAGGCAACATGCGTTACATTCAGGAGGTGAGCAAGCCACATGACTTGCCATACAAATATATATACTGTTAGAAACCCGGATAGTCAAACTAATTTTCCACCAATCATCTTGTATTAACAACAATAATAATAGCACAACGATTTAGGGTAATTTCGGAGCGGCAGATTATCCGAGCACGATGTGCAGTGCTCAACGTTACAGCTCGCTTTGCCAGAGTCGGCGGCCGATCGTCGTTCCCTCAGCTATCAGAGCAGCAACTACACAGCAGTACCCCTTCGTGACCGGCAGCGGCTCGCCAAAATTTTTCGTTTCTTACAATACAGAAGTCGACCAACTGAATTTTCTAACAAGGTAATGCGCTACAAGATATAAGCCTTGGTGGTACAGGTGTCCATGGTCGTGTCCAATATCACGCCACACAAATTTATCAGACACAGTCACCGACCACTGTACCAACACACGTGTAGCCAGAATTACGTTGGTCCAGTTTGAAAGAAATCAAGTCGATGCGATGGCCCCTAGATCTCCTGATCTATCACCATTGAACACGTCTGGGACACCATGGGAATAATACTGCACCGTTAACACAATCCTCCACAGACTCCAGCGACACTCCAGCACGAGGTACAAGTCGCCTGCAGTAGCGTAGCGAGGGGGGATATGGGGAGGAGTCGGCATTTTTGAAAGTGTCGTGTATATAACACAAAAAAATTGTTCGCGATTATAAAAAAAAATGACATTTTTCGGACGCTTCCTACATACTTTTTATTTCTCTTCTGCTTAGTTTCTCTTTTAGTATGTTATTATCATGAAAAATTTCGACTAATTTCTGTTGAGTCATCAGTCGGAATTTATGAAAGTTTCAACTTCTCCTGTAACGTCAGCTTCCTGTGAACGTTCATTTAGTAAATTGAAATTGATTTATGATCATTTGTGCACAACAATGGGAGATGCTCGTTTAAATTCGTTGATGTTGCTTTTTGCTTCAAAGGATATGGTTGACGCAACTGATCTCCGAAAAGTCGCTGAAAAATGGTCTCTTTTGAAACATCGCAGGGTAAAAATTTAAAATGAGTACATGTATGCATTTTTTTCGGCGGATCGTTCTGCTTTTCTATCTGTCTCTAATGACGATGTATATTCCTTTAATTTTCTAAAAATTCTCAATTATCATGTCCATTGTATTGTATGTATAAAGTATAAACTACAGTTTTGATTGCAATTAAGTGTAATATCATGTATTAAAATAAGTTATAAAATTGGCAATTTTTTTACGAGTCGGCATTTTTAGTGAAATTACCCCCCCACAATTGCAGGGTTCGCTACGCCAATGGTCGCCTGGGATAAGATATCTCAAGAGGAAATCGATCATCCGATTAGGAGCATGCCCAAGCGTGTTTCTAAGTGCATAATAAATCGAGAAGTCCCAACATATTATTAATTCTTTACATTTTTTCAACAGCTGTTTTCTGAAATTATGACTAAATACCTGTCTGAGAGACACGTATACGAAAAATTGTATATTATAGTTACTGCAAAGGATTTAACGAATATAAGCAATTGTTTGTTAGAACTAGTCTGTCACTAGCGCCCTAAATGAGTCATTGCTTTCCATTGATACCTTAATTTATCAAGCTTCAACTCGTTAACAAGCTGTCAAAATTTTGTTGGATCATACAGTGTTTTTTCCAAAAGGTACACAAGAAAAAGCGATTTTCAGTAGTTTCCTTTAAGGGGCTGTATTTCTGTAACTTGTAGAATTTTTACTGTAAGTCCTTTATTTTGACGTTTGATTTTTTGAAATCAGTCGATTCGGTTTCGAGAAAGTCTTCATTTAATTTGATTTGCTCAGATAGAAAACATAAACACACGAAAATGTCACTTTTATTTCAATAAGTGTTCAAAATGTTGCCCGTTAGGGTTTGCCAAATCTACAATTCGTTTTTAATTTAAAACGGAAAAACGAACATAAACAACTAAACAACAATTCGGAAGACTAGATGTGGCAACAACCAAATAAAAACTCGAATTTTTTTCGCATTCTATTCATCAACACAGATATCCTGGGCAAGCTGCATTTATAGTTATACCTGTTGCTAAGAGAAAGAAAGAATTTAATTTGCTGTCAGTTACCTTTGTGACAATCTTGGAATAGTGAAAATTAATTTATTGATTCAGATTTTACTTCCAAAATGGTTTGCATACTAGCCGGAAGAGTGGAAATGATTCTAATTTATGGTAAATCAATGTGCTCGGCAAACTGCCGTCACGTTCAACCCCAAACATCCGGGAAAGATAAGTTACCAAATTTATTCAAACTGGATCTGTTGCAAATAAAAAACGTGGTCATCGGAGACTTTTGGATAAAGCCGCACAAGTTAAAGCATTGGGTCATTTTGGAGTAAATCTTAATACTTCATTACGCAAAGTTGTTGCTGTGACTGGTATTTCATTAGAGTCTGTACACATAGTTATTAAAGTCCAAAAAATTGATCCGTTCAAAATTAAAATATTGCAAGAGTTAACCGAAGATATTATAAACAATATATACGTATTTCTTCCGTTTTCACACCTTCAGGCAATTGCAAGGATCTAGTTGATAAATTTAATAGTACCAAAATTAATGAAAGTGCTAAATTTGAATTTAGTTTTGCTACCCCACAAAATGTGCTAGACATTATTCTGTCCCTAAAATCTAATGCAGCAGGTTCGGATGGTATAACAGTCTCAATGCTTAAGCATTGCTTGCCTCGAGTACTACTACCATTGACGCATTTATTGAACTGTTGCCTGGAGGCTGGGTATTTCCCTGATGCTTGGAAACTATCTCTTGTCAAGCCCTTGCCTAAATGTAAAAATCCAAAATGTCTCTCAGACTTAAGACCTATAACCTTGATTCCTGTTATATCAAAGATATTGGAGAAATTGATTACACATCAGGTTTATCATTATTTCTCTAATAATGATTTCTTTCCCAAGTGTCAATCTGGTTTCCGCAGTGCTTTTAGTACAACTACAGCTTTAGCAAGGGTTTTAGATGACATCATTGCTTCGCTTGATAAGGGAGATGCTTCAGCACTTGTATCATTAGATTATTCTAAGGCGTTCGATAAAATAGATCATGAGCTTTTATGTGCTAAATTGAAGTTTTTTGGTTTTTCAGACATACCTCTAATGTTTTTTATAACATATCTTTCAAATCGTAAACATGTAGTAGAGATAGACAACACTATATCTAGCCCGATTGATATAAAATCAGGTGTCCCTCAGGGTTCAGTTTTAGGACCCTTGTTGTACTTAATTTATACTATAGACTTGGGTAGCTCTGTGAAAAACTCTTCTGTGATGTGCTATGCCGATGATACACAGATATATAAGAGCTTTAATAGTAACACTTTACATACTTCAATCAATGAGCTTAATGATGATTTGGAGGCAATAGTAGGATACTCAAATGGTAACAATCTTAAGCTCAATAAGGATAAGTGCTCAGTGATGCTTTTTTGTCCTAGTGTCAAACGTAACACTATATTGAATTCTCTTGATGTAAAAATCGACAAGGAGCGTCTAGCTGTCGTAAATACTACAAAAAATTTAGGGTTGATTATTGATTATACTTTACGGTTTAAGGAGCATGTTTCATCTATCCTAAAAAAATGTTATGCAACTTTGAAGTGTTTTTATGTCAATCGCTTCATTTTGAATTTTAAAGTTAGAAAAAAGTTATGTGAGGCTATTATATTTCCAAGCTTATTTTACTGTAGCACTGTGTTCTTTCATTGTCTTGATTCTATCACAAAAGCAAGACTCCAAAAACTCCAAAATACTTGTTGTCGATTTGTATTTAATCTCAAGAAGTATGATCATGTTTCCTTAAAGAGATTTCAGCTTCGTTGGATGTGTATAGAAAATGCTTGCAAGTACGATATAGCAGTGTTTACACATAATATCATATCTTCTCGATCCCCCTTGTATCTTTATGAGAAATTTGTTTTCAGACGAAATAATTCAGACATTGATTTCAGACACAAAAAAAGACTAGAGATCCCTATGTATAAAACAACTGTGGAAAAGATCGTTTTTAATTCTTATACGAGTATTTTATTTTATTTTTACGTAATATATGTGTGTATATTATGTATGTCAGGAAGCTATCAAGCTCATTGTTTTGAAGCGTCTTTTGCTGCTTGTATTTCAATTTATTATTTGGGTAGGTTAAGTAGAGTAGCGTAGAGGTCACATTATGTTGTAGTTTATGTAATGTGCCTAATAAAGACATTTTATTATTATTATTATAAGATGATTGCGATAGGCGAGTTAAGTTTTATGAACAAATGACTACAGCGATTAATGATAATACCATTCATGTAAAGAATATCTGCTTCAGTGATGAATGCACAATTTACCTAACAAGATTTGCTAACAAGCATAACTGCAGGTATTTGAGCAATGAGACTCCTCATGCTTTTGTAGATGGGCATACCCAGTACCCCCAAAAAATTAATGTATGGGCAGGCATTTTAGGACAAGTGATGGGGCTGTTGTTTAATTATGAAAACATGAATGAAAACATTTATTTGGATATATCGGAAAATACCATCAATCCGCTTATCACTGAAATAATTGAAAACCAAATCGAATCGAATGGAAATTCCATACATGATGAGGCTGAAATATCTTTCCAGCAAAACGGCTATGCTCCTCACTATGTTCTTCCGGCTCGGCAATGGCTAGACGACGAGTTTCCAGATAAATGGATAGAGTGAAGGGGGCCTATAGAATGACCTGCTAGATATTCTGATTTGTGTTCACTCCCCAGCCTGAAAGTTTAACTTCGTCAACGCATCACCGAAAGCTGAAGTGATATCCGACAACATGCCTATGAAAATGTCCGTCAGGAATTTGAACATCGCCCAGATCATTGTTTGGCCAATAACGGGCAACATCAAACGTCAAAATAAATGACCTTTCAAACAAGCCATTACTCGATACCCCTTGTCATTTAAAATTTTTAAGGGGATGGCCCTGGGGGGTAGAGGGTGAAGTAGTTTTCGGTTAAACAGTTGTTCCCCTTGACAAATCTTTTGACGTGCCTCGGTGTTTTTCCTTTTAATCAGTGGTATTCGATAAACTTGTGGTGGGATGTTTTCAATTGAACACCCTGTATGATAAAAAAAGACATTCCCAAATCAGGTAGCACCGCAGCATATCTCGCTCACAGCTTTGAGCTGTTAGTATCGATCTAGTTCAATGACCCAGTAACAACAACCCCGGCTGGCTGCTTGCTGTTAGGATTTTATTAAGTGGGCATATAGTGCAGAAAAGTGCGCGATGCAGATAAAAGTATATCTGGCTTCATGTTTGTTTGTTCACATTTTATTCTGACTTTATGCATGCACATGTTAAAATCATGTGAAGTGGCAGAAGGTCTTCGTGTCTCAGGAAAATGTATGTCCACGGCTTGATACGCTAAGCTTTTGTTTCACTTCCCACATCAGGTAGAGCACTTCGATTAATGATTAAAGGCTGGAGATAATGATGCGTTTTGTTGATTCAGTGTTAAGTGGGTAACGGCCAAAAAAAAACGAATTAACAGTGTGGCGATGTCTACGACTAACACTTTATCATTTTTTTTACACCGAAGCAGCCTAAGTGCCAGAACACCGCGGCAGCTACGAGGATCCCAGAAAATTTTTGTTAATCCTGACCATTAAAAGAATGCCATGATTCAATCCAAGTATAGGCTACAAAATCAAATATATCAAGCAATAAGTTATCATTGAGCGGCTTCCTTAAGGAAGAGTCTGAACGGCAGTCTGGTAGATCGGACCTCTTTTCCTTCAGGGAAAACTAACTGCATATCATTTTGTATATCCATCCATAAGGCGTATTAAAGCCCTTCCGCTCTCTGTAGGTAGGTAGGTGCTCCGTATCGGAGCTTTAATTTCCGTCGGAATCTTCCCGACATTTTCGTAAGAAAGAGAGTATAGATGCTTCGGGGTCTGATTAAAAAAAAGTTGTATAATCTTCCTATTAAATCAATCCCGTTAATATTAATTATACTAGTATAGTCGAAATCACGAAAGATGACGATTACGTCATCATTTTATTCTGTAGTAAAGACAAACGACAGCCATTTGTGAATATTTTTAAATGAAGGTTCAGATGTGCTAGACAGAGACAAACAAAATTTTATTGTCTAAACAAGTAGTATTGCTGACTTGCATGTATCCGATAAAGACAGACGATTTTTGCATGTTTCATGATCGATCACATTTGAAAGATGACAAGTGAGGTTATGTCATGTCAGCGTGTTGACAGTTCGTTGCAGGTTAGGTTGTTTTCGAACAATACTTTGGTTGTTGGTGTTCCTGTCTTGAGGTGTATTCTGTTGTGTGTATAACTGTTTTTTTCAAAACAAAAACTCCTCATAAAAATTATTATTAAGGTAGAAACTAAATAATTTCCAACATAAGAGCATCATTTAAGACTTTAATTCTAGTTTTCGCTATGAAAGGCAAAACTCTTAGCTCTCAATCACAGGGCTTGGTACTATCGTTGCTGAATAATTTTCAACAAGAAAAGGGTAATGGAGGGCCTCTATTACCATTGTTAGCTGTCCAAGAGGTTTATAATAGTTAGAAATATGGTCATATGATTGACAATTTATTCTATATTATTTTTCAGAGGGTGGCTCAGGCACTAAGTATCAGTTTGTCCAATATTACCAGAATACAGCACCGTTTATCATCTAATGATAATGTCCTAAGATCACCTGGAAAGAAGAGACCCAGAAAAAAGTCTAAGACAACAGATTTATCTGATGCAGTCAGGCATAATATACGAGATACAGTGTATCAAATGTATAGTGAAAGTAATGATAATGAGCGTGAGATGGTACATTCCAGATTATTGATTTTTTGTTTTGTTTCAGAGAAACATGTCACAATAGCAAATTTGAATAAAACGCTTAAAGAGAAAGAGCTTGCTTCTATCAGCAATAGCTCTTTACAAAGAGTGCTGCCCACCATAGGCTTTAAATATAAAAAAGATGGTAATAGAAGATTTCTAGTTGAGCAATCCAGTATTGCTTTACTTCGCACCAAATTTTTGAAAAGTTATAATGACCATGTGAACACTTCCTCGCATCAAATTGTTTTCATGGATGAAACATGGATATTTTCAAAAGGCAGTCCAAAAAAGTCTTGGCAAGATGAGCCAATAAAAAGTGTAAGGAGACCATTGGGCTTTCAAGGAAAGCGATTTATTCTTGTCCATGCAGGGAGCGAAAAAGGATTTGTTGATGGAGCAAGTCTGTTATTTTCCTCACAGTCTAAATCTGCAGATTACCATGGTGATATGAACGGCGAGACATTCATTAAGTGGAAAAACTCCTCTTCAACTTGGAAGAGCCATCAGTGATAATTATGGATAATGCATCCTATCATAGCATTTTATTGGAAAAGACTCCAAACACAAGTTCTCCAAAAAAAGAGATTATTGACTGGCTGGTTAAAAATGAAATTGTGTTCCAACCAAAATTAACTAAAGTGGAGTTATTGAATATAGTGAAAAGAAATCGTAAGGAAAAGAAGTATTTAATAGATGAAATCATAAAAAGTTATGGACATGAAGTTCTTCGTACCCCCCCCCCATACCAGTGTGAATTTAATGCCATCGAGTTAATATGGGCCAATGCTAAGCAGTATTATGGTAGACATATTGGAAGATGTGGTCATAGTGATGAAAATGTTTCAGCTATGTGGAATGAAGCTCTGTCACGAATTACACCAGAGGTTTGGAAAAAATGTGTGAAGCATACCCATGATGTAATTTTAGAGTGGTACAACAAAACTATTACTCGTGAAATAGAACCACTGATAATCTCATTTGATTCAGATAGCGATACTGAATCTGACAGTAGCGATTAATTTTTAATCAGAATTTGACCATAAGTAATGGAATAACATATTGAAATGTACAGTTTATTTTATTTAATATATGTTTTATACAATTTTGTAGCTTATGCTAAAATGAATAGTGGATGGCATGACATGAAATAGTACAAAAATATTTTCACTTTGGTATGCTTATTTGTGTTTGTATTTTTTTTATAAAATAAAACAATGTTCTCAGAATCAATTGGTCGTTTTAATGGAGCTGATACCAATGTATTATTATGATTTTGGTAAGAACTCTAGGGACTCAACAATATTAGATGAAAAATAGGTTCAAAATACGTACTATTATTGTGAACAGAGGAAATGCTGTTTTTTTTAATAAATATGTAATTTTATTGCAAATAGAAGTCTTAAAATGTAAATTTCTGCACGGATAAAGATAATTTAAAATCATGAAATAGAATAAATAAAAATAATCACTGAAATCGGCTAACTTCGATCACATGTTCCTGACATCGTAACCTTATCATCGTACGTCCGGTAATTATTTCGTTACAATTTATGGTATGACGTAATCGTCATCTTTCGTGATTTCGACTATAGCTTCCCATTGCCTTGTACTCGTACTTACGCTGGACCTTCAGCAAACTTTCCGTTTCTTCCGTTTTAATACCAACAATCTCTCAAATATGGTGAATGCGGCATCGGTAACATCTACAGCAAATCCTGTGAGCATGCAACATATTCAAACATGCATAAAATCATTTGTAAGGCTTTTTTCCAAATTATAAAATTATTATCCCAAACGTCCTTTTCATCCAACCGATTTGAGTGATTCATCAAGGTTTTGGTGAAAGTACCAGCATCTATATGCCGGCTTTTCGGTCATAATATAACTCAAATTTCAAAGTTGATCGCATCTGTAAGATGTTTGAACTCAAATATTTCAGAACATACATTTTAAGCTTTCACGTTTCATCAACATTTTCCTTTCCATTTCAGTACCTGATTACTCTTCAAGAGCTCAGAGTTCGTGATGTTGACATTTTTATGTAAAACTCTCCCAATTTCAAGTATTTAACTTTTTTATATGAGCTTATCATCGCAACACTTCATACGAGTACTTCAAGTACGTAATACAGCACGGTGCGACAAAACGTATATGAGAATGGCTGTGCCACCGCGCTCACAATAAAAACAAAAGTTGAAGCTTCATAATAGGCGGATCATTTATTTCAACTTTTGCTTTACCGGCGAGAAAGCATTGTAATCGCGAAAAATTTCGAAAATGTGATATTATGTTTTCGTCTGTGGGTCTCTCGGTCTCTCTGTCTGCTACTCCTTGACCTGTCTATTACTTGGAAAGCACCGCTCGGATTTTGATAAAATTTTCACAAGAAATGGCAACTATGCTAAAACGCTTTGAAGTTTTTGTAAATCAGTTCAGTGGCGGTGGCGTGAAAAACAAACTTCGTTTTTTTGACGTTTCCGAAAGCTCCTGATCATTTAGGGGTTAGAAATCGGGGATTGGCAGTTGTAAGCGCAAGACTCTGTGTGCGCCTGAATGCATCATCGACGTTTTTTATTTCGAGTGACTGGCGCTTATGATGTGTTTCAGAATCGTCGGTTATGATTATTATTATTATTATTAGCACTGATTATGGCAGGGGTGTATGTAGTATGGACTAACTATGTGGAGCGGTTTGGCTGAATTAATCCATTTGAGTTTTTGAGATACATGTTTGTTGGCATTTTGTGTAATGTAATGTAATCCTTTATGGGTCAACCTACTTGATGTTATTTTTTATTATGAGCGCAGTACCCCAGCACTTTCACCTTTATATATGTCTTGTATGCCAGTGTATTTTATTATAGGTTTAAAGCAACAAGTGCCGCGTTCACATAAGGATAGTAAGATGAATAATCAAAAATGGTTGAATTTTGGATGAAAAAGTTATGTGCGAATCTTGGCAATTCAATGAACGATCAACCACTAAAATAATATTGCAAATTACGAAAATTTAAAATACTTGGAATATTGAAAAGCAAAAAATTCACAAATACGCTCAATTTGAAATTTCAGTTATTTCCAGTGGTATGTTGATATGGATCCTGATCCTCTTGATATAGAGCTGAGGCATGGTTAAAGTATGTGTGAATAATGGTATATTTCGACTAAACATGAGTTATTTTCCAACAACGAATTATAGACTGTCCTACACGTGCATAAACATTTTATATCCTGCAGGGGTTCATTATTGTTGATCTAATTGAATGACTTTTACTCTGATCAACACTCGCACTATCTTCGAATGAAGAAACTGCCTTTAAAATTGCCCAATTATATAATTGTGAATAGAATTAGGCCAATGAAAACAACATTACAGCCTCAAATCCCAGCCCAGTATGTGCCCAAAGTGAATAGTTTAAAGAAAGGACGAAACATGCGAACATCAGTGACAAGGATTCCAGATTGAAAAGCTTCTATGGTATTGTCTAGTAGAACCAAGATAGAACAGAATAGCAATAGGACAGCTATAACTGAAATTCGGTCTTTTCACCGCACTTTCTCTATTCATTTGTATTAATTGGTGGGGAAACCGGTAGCTTGCGGATTTATGTGAAACGTGACATTTCATAGCTGAAATACGGTGCTCGCAGAATAAACAGAACTTTGTTAATGTGGCATTTGCTGAATTTACTCAATATACTCGTGCTCTGGTAATTTGCTGGAGCATCTGTTCAAACTTGTTATCACCATCCCACAAAACGCAGTTCCAAACTCATAATCCAAGAATAATAGGTATGTCGGTACCTCGGGTTATACATCTTGACATTAGGAATGTTCGATACGATCCTATATTTACGAGTATGATCATCTTTTAATCCGGACTGTGTCAGAAAGAGTGACTAGCTTCAGATTACTTTTCTTCTTTGTTCCCTTCCGCTAGATATCGATAATTTTATTCCAATATTTTAGAGTATCGATATTTCCTAAAACGATAAGAATCGATACAAGACAGCGTGTCGTTCTTGTCAACGGGGCTGTAGGGTGCGGTGTTGCCTTTACTATCTTACATTTTGCTAAAATCTTATTACAAATAAAACCTTCAAATAAAATATTGACGAATATGAACGGATACGCATAGAATTTAGAATATAAATACATATTGCAAATTTAAGATTGTCTATGCATGGACTTGAACCGAACTTTTCGGTATTTTTTATTTACCGATAACATCATTCTCCTCGATTTTTCAAAATAATTTAAATATTTTTATGCTTGCCAAAAAAGAGCTGAAACCAAAAATAAAGCTAAAAAATGATTTTATGTAGTCTTCATAGTTTTATGCCCCATATCAGTCATACATATGCATACATACTCAGGCAGTCGGACACATGAGAGGGGTAGATTTGGGTTGCTTATGATTACAAACGCACATCCTCATCCCTTACTCCGCTTGCCCTGACTTGATTTTTGTGCATACAAAAGGTACAGACTGGTAGATTACCGTCATTACCTCATCACTGGACAAGCAATAAGGAAACCGAAACCTGCCTGTTTTCAAAATAAATATTTAATTAAAATGAGAGGTTCAAGGGTAAAACAAAAATGTATACAATACTATAAGCAAAAATCGAAAAAGGAGTTTCCAGAATGGTGGCAAAGCACTTTGAATGAACGACCAGTATGCACATTGTAGAAGTTGTAATATAGAACTATGCCCTCAAAAAACATGTTTTGTGCGCATCCAATACAATAACAGACGTTTTTAATGACTCAAAGGTGCTTGATTTACCACTGATCTTGGCACAGCATTTTCCTTATACCGAACTCAAGGGCACTATTTACCTATTCCGTTTTTCTGCTGGTTCGGCAATACTGCAGATGTGCAGGTCACTTTAATTAAAAGCAACTGATATCCCAGACGTGTTATAATAATAGAAATAAGAAAATAAAACAATGTTAGGAGATATGTTTTCATAAATAGGTATTTTTGATGCTGACTTATAATATCTAGACGACGAATAATGATGGGGATACTTTTACAAATATCGATGTTTTGGGACCCAGAAATGCAGAATGTGCTGTTTGTTCACATTTGGTGTGGATTTCTGGATCATAAATTGGCAAAAATTGTTTTTAATGATGAATTAGTTGGAATACGTTTTATATCCTTTTTTTTGCAAAGAACAAAAATCGGTACATTTCTACAGGTACGTATTTTGTACAACTCCCGGTACGTGATATACAGGCAAAATTAGATTGCCATGCATGAACAGTCGTCAAAAACAGTGAAAACATCCTACCAAATATAATATCTAGAAAATCGAAATATTATTTCTATCATTTTATCCACTTACATAACTGACCGTCTTTTGTGAAACTGGAAATTCTATGAAAGTTATCCTAATTCTAAAGCACAAAGACATAATATTACATCTATAATGTACCCTTATTTATAAGGCAACCATTTTTTCACGACCTCGTTCAACATTTCAATAAAAATCACTGATATT